GTTATATTCACTGACCCAAAAGTTTTTCATTATTCCTTTCACATTAATATCAATTTTAAACTCCATACAAAAATAAAATAAAGATTATCTCTGTAAAATATTTACTATCCCTTAGTTATAATTTTGTAGGGAAAAGTTAAAAATGAGTAAAAGATGAAGAATCCACATGTTATATAATTTCTAGATTTTTTATACGCAGTAGTTTATACCGAAAAATATAACGGTTATTATCAGCGCTTAAAATGAAACCTGTGAGCCGAGTTCGGGCCTCGGCTGCTACACTTACTTTCGTATTAATCCTTTTCAACCTAGGAGAAGTACAACTCTGAATTGACAATAGTAGGTTCAGTGATCAACCACGCCATTGACTTTTCCAGGTAACACTGGCAATTTATAGATAATAGAGAAAGGTAATCTATAGATAGCGATGATCGTCTATGTCTTGAAGGGACGCGTGCAGTAATAAAAATGGCAGGAGGGTGACGTCCGCAGTGGTAGTTATCCCCAGGGGAGTCACTTAATTAATAAAGATGCAATAAACATCTGCAATATTAGTGAACCCAATCATCGAGAGTTGAAATTAAATGGATAACATTTATTATTGCAAGTAAAACAAATGGTAAAATCGTAGTGCAGAATCGGTTAAAGGGGCCAGAAAATTTGTAACTTGATAAAAATTTTTCGACCCGACCATTTCAGCACCTATCCTTGTAAGATTTCGGGTACTTATTTTCTAAGAAGACAAACCATATCTACTAGGGAGAAAATTCGTAAAAGGTTCATATTACGACGTTTCAGCCTTGTGTCAGACTTATGTAAGCTTGATAAAATTTTAATAAAAAAGAAAACTTAATGGAAAATTTCTAAATTGATTTGAAACGTATTTCAATTGTTACAATTGCTCAAATAAATGTAATATTTATTAAATATGTTTTTTTTTTCTTTTTCTGTTGCTATGGTTAAAATAGAATACGCGCGTACACACACACTTCGAACGCATATATATATATATATATATATATATATATATATATATATATATATATATATATATATATAAAGTTAAAGATCAAATGCAGATCAAATAGGAAACGTATATAAATCTAATATTTTCGCTTTTATTAAAGCATCATCAGAGAATGAGAAAAAACAGGTAAAAAGATACAAAAAGCTTGTATTTTCAATTATTTTTGTCTCAATTCTCATTGGTCAGATACGTGTAACGTGTATTAAAACTATGGATAATTCTATGCGTATGTAAATTTGTGAGGATTCTTGTATGTCTAAGTGGGCATCAGATAGTATTGTGTATTTGTAATTGTGTGTGTGTGTCTGTCTAGTGGGGTTTTTTATCTTCACTTTTGTGCGGTCAATCTGCGCAGCGGGGAGTCACAAGGTTCTAATTTATGGCTCGCCTTTTTAAGAATGTATTTTTGTATTAGATAGATCTAAATTAGATTCTATAGTTGGTAATATTGATATTATTAAGTATTCAATGTATTTTCTCCTTAAAGAATTATATATCTTTTTTAATTAGGGTGGCATTAGTGAAATCAAAGTTATGTCCATTCAAAACAAGAGAGTTAGAGTGTTTGTTCAAACGCAAGTCTCTCTTGTATTCGCAGAGGCGGGCTTTTAGATCACGTAATGTCTCCTCCACTTAAATATTTTTTCATTGTAAAGAATTTAGTTGATAAATCTCGGTATTTGAATCTGTGTTGGGTTTATTTTTCTTCCCAATTATATCTCCGATTGTCTTGGAGGTGATAGTAACGATCCTAATAATAGGGATGATTAATTTATTTTCGACTTTAGTAGAAAGAGTGTTGGAAGGTAGGATTATGATTTTGGTGTCATTTTTGTTAGAAGTGTTATTGGTGGAGTCTGCTTTTTTCTTTTTCTTTTCCTTTTTTTTTTTTTTGCTTTGAGCTCGTTTTTTTTTTTGCATTAAGGATAAAATGATGTGGGTATAGGGAGAAATTTATTATTTTTTCAATATCTCTTCTTCATTTAGGAATTCCGGGCTACATATCCTAAGGGATCTGAGGTAGAATCTTATAACTAATCCAGATTTAATTTTTAGAGAACTGTCCCACACACAAACACACACACACACACACACACACGCACGCACGCACGCACACACACACATATATGCATATATATTTAAAATATGTGTATTTAGGCAGTATTTTTTCATTGATACATGTTTCATTAAATAATATAGACAAGTAAATATACCATACCTTAAAACAATTTTTATCACACACACACACAGACACACACACACACACATATATATATATATATATATATATATATATATATATATATATATATAATCATATATATATATATAAATATTGATACATGTTTCATTATTAATAATATAGACAAGTGTTGTCTATTTACTTTATGTAGATTCGTCTAATATAGTCTGTTTCTACGTGTGACGTCACGAGCTACAGTGCGATTTTCGCTTCCAGCGTCTAATATGCATGAGTTTGTCGTTGCTTGGAAATCTTACATGTAAACAGAAACAGACTATCATCACGGTTTTGTCCGTGTATTGCTTAATATATTGTTATGTAATTGTCATCTTTGAGAATGGCTAATGTAAGCCGAAAGCTTAGATAGGATTAAAAAATATGTATCAATATTGTGATTTTCTTTCTTCGTTTAATGATAATGTTATTAAACTTATTAGACGATAGGAAAAGAATTTACATAAAATAAATAGACAACACTTGTCTATATTATTTAATGAAACATGTATATATATATATATATATATATATATATATATATATATATATATATATATATATATATATATGATTATATATATATGTGTGTGTGTGTGATAAAAAATTTTTAACGTATGGTATATTTATAGTTATATCAAGGATAGAGCCTATGTAAATATAAAAGTGAACATTGAAATTAGCACCTACAAACGACTGTTTTTTAGCAAAAAAAAACCAAGGCATGTAGGCTAACACTTGCGTTTAAGCATAAAACAGACTGTCGTTTCTGGGTGTTGACTTCAATGTACACTTATACACACACACGCATATATACATATATGTGTGTGTGTTTGTGTGTGTATAACAAATTTGTTTGTAGGTCTTGAAGATTGAGAGCCGCTGTTTTTTTAGAGATCTCATTAAATAAAAATTATTACTTATGGGATTTTAAGTGTTTGATAGTCTTTGATTAATAATAATTTTGCTCTGTCTTTTGACATAGAGCTCTCACTTTATCTCCTGGATTTTCCATACGGATTACCATATTGTATCACTACTATATATATATATATATATATATATATATTATATCTTATTTCGGCAGACCACTTTCGTCGTCTGTCGGAATAGCCAATTCCCCATATAAAGTAAAACGATTTGTTTGATTATGAATTATATTGTTCAATATAAATTAAATGCATCGAGCTCTTTTTTACGGATCATTTCTAATATTTTTGTATTACCAGAATCCACCTGGATTATATGCCAACGGATTTGTTACCTTACTATATATATATATATATATATATATATATATATATAATATATATATATATATATATATATGTATATCGAGTATATATATATGTGGTTGTATGGACTCAGCTCACTACTGTAGCAAGTATTTTGTGAGGCCACACTTTTAACACCAGCTATAGAAGAAATATTGGACAGGCAGACAGTTTTACTAAGTTTATTATTCTAACAAAGTATAATTATCCTAATGCACTGGGTGATGTTGCAATTATTCGCAACAGTGACTCATTTCCGAGATCAAAATGTAGATCGTTTGAATAATGAATAGTTGAATGGACGTTATGATTGCAAATATGAGTAAGAAATTTTACGGCGCTGTCTGACTGGGTTAGTAAAGTTGTTATGAAACAGAAGATTGGTTAAAAGATTGGTTTAAAATAACTTGAGATGTGACCAATCACAGGGAGAGTTGCCTATAAACTGCCCTAGCCAGAATTCGACTTTCGACAATTTTCCATGCTGAAGACAATTATATTACTTAACAAGCTGCACTGAACAAAATGATAGCGATCGAAACGAATCTCCTACATCTTTTGACTGATTTTACACTTTTTTTTAAACTTTTCTACAAGGAAATAAACTAATGTCATGAGAGAACTCTGTTGAAATCATCAGTGAATTTCATGTAGATGCAATTAAAGAAATATTTCAAACTCTCTAATTGCATCTGCGTCTCGGATAAGCTGAATACTTTTCTATAATTTAAAAAAATCTAGTTTAATGGAAAAATCAAGTTAGTCTATGCAACATGCGAGTTTTGATAAATTTATATATTTGAGAAAAATAATGATTCTAAAGATATTAAAATCAAAACGATACTTTTACAGGAATGACTCGTAACATTAAATTGGTTGGCAATCTATCTACAGATTCACTAAAATCGTCCCTCCCCCAGCAGCCTAGTCACTCGCGGAAATGTATCAATGAAAGAAATCTCCTTTTAAATCAAAAAAGACGTTGGTTTTGCAATCAATGAAATCAGAAAAATGACCATTCCCAAAATAACAAACTACATACCTTGTAAATTTTTAAAAAAAGTTTTTATTTCATCCATCGGTTGCTTCAACCGTTGGAGTGGGGTGGGGATCTGAGGGCAGACGAAACAAACTTTGATTCGTCTTTCTCGTTATCCGTTCAGTGGAAATCAATCAAATGATGAAACAAATTCGTTTCGATCCCTTGCATTTTGTCCAGTGCGTCTTGTTGAGTAATATAATTGTTTTCATCAGGGAAAATTAGGAAAGGTTGAATTCTGGCTAGGGCTGTTTATAGGCATGGAACTAATTCTCCCTGTACTTGGTTACATCTCAAGTTACTTTAACAAAATTATTAGTTATTAGCTTGTTATGATGATTGCGGCTGATAAAAACCAATCTTCTGTTTTAATAATCAGTCAGAATTCGTCATAAAAAGCTTTTACTCATATTCACAATCATAATGTCCACTCAACAATTCAATATTCGAGTGATATAGGTTTTTATATCGGAAAATTATTTGCCATTCAACATAATTAGAACATCACTCAATCCATCCGGATAGTTATTCTTTGTCAGATAGCTTGGCGGCACCCATCTCCTCTCCAAGAATGATAGTCAAAGATTATGGAATATTCTGTTGGTCGTCCCAGGTCTGTACACTAGTTTCTCATGTTATTTTGTTTTAAATTCAGAGTTGTCCTCCTAGACCGGTCGCCACCAAAGAGTTTTCTGTTATTTATCCATAGCTGAGAGGAGAGAAGATCGATATATAACTTTTTCAAAGATATTAGAACGTAAGTGAATATAATGAACTCGACTGGAATTCAAACTCATCTCTCCGATTCCTCAAGCCGTTATCCACTACTCCACCGTGTCCCTTATATAAGAAGGAACTGTAATGTAAAATACAAAATACTTCTTATACAAAAGAATCAGCATTAAATCAAATTTTGATTATTTTTTTTATTTTATTTATTTATTTTAGATTTGGTCAGGAAGCATTTTAAGATTTGACAATCGTTAATAGAAGTTAATAGTCAGTGAAAAACTTTAGCATTTCAGAGATTTTGTGTCAATTCTAGACAATCAACTTTATCTCTGCCAGAGATGCTTGGTTCAGTTTTCGAAAGATCCTATGATAAATGCTGTTCGTGCAGAGTTGCTTTGTCAAAACCAAGGGAAAATATTAATTAAAAACTCTAGGAAGGAAATTAATGCTGTATTTTATCAGTACTTGAATTTTCAAGAATATAGTCGCAGAAAAGCAATATTCTTTTTAAGCATCTTGTTTATCAAAGTTAATTGGCTTTGCACCTGCGCAATGTTTCAACGTCACGAGGAATAATGGCGACAGTATTGAGCAGGTGAGACTTTGTGTTTTAGTTGAAAAAAAAAAACGCGCCTGTTTTATTTTCTGAATTTCTCGTATTAGGATAAATCAGGCACAAGTAAAAATCTAACGAAGATAGAATTCGCTACAAATAGCCAACTGGATTGAAAGACATTCAAATACTGTTCACTAATCGGAAAAAAAGTTTCGCAGTAAGTTACGCTTTAAAACTGTGTCAATCTCTAAGGATATATAGCAATTAAATTCTCTATATATTTTTCGACCAATAAAATCCCATCAGAAGGTTTGTTTTATAAAGAATCTTTACAACGGCAAATACCACCAAAATACTTGGTGGACGTTGTTGTAAATCTATCACGTTTTATTTTTTTAGAAAATAACTGTAATAACTCCCTTCATCACTCCCACAAATTCGAGAAAAAGATTTTCGCTAATGGATAATATTTTCTAAGTAATGAAAACCTTCAGTATCTGTCTATATTTCTATATTTAAAGGACACATTGGATAAAGGCATTGGTTAGATCCAGTGACAAGACCCAAAGAGTTAAGGCAGTGGAGAACTTTCAGAGCGAAATTAACATGAGATAACTAATAACTGACATCCATTAAACATGGCACGTGGAACTAGAACAGTCTACCCCAGTGAGCGAAATAAAAAGTTCAGTTCGACATTCCAACCACCTGAAGAAGGCCGAAACGTTGTAATAAATATGGCGACAAAGATGGGGGCAATAGTCTGAATAATGTAAATGAAAACCTTGTATTCAAAAAGATCACACCCCTGTGTGAAATTAGATTTTGGATCCTCCTTTCGAATATAAAAATAGAAGCTTCTCGTTGTTCAAAATAACTTCGACCAGTTTGATCTATACGTGTGTACATACACACACGCACCAACACAAAGGCATACATTGGAAGAGACGGCTAAACCCTTGTCTACGAAACCACAAACACATTAGGTTGGCAGTCATAAAGTAAATCTACCCACACATTTCACACCGCCCTTAGAACACTTAATTACTTTGTGAAACAAACTTCACTGCAAAGAAAATTGAACATTTTATTATTTAATATTTCTAAAAATAATATATAAATGTTATTTCAACTGATTTTCTTCTACTTTTCCTTCAGAAAAGAACATTTTTATATTTCACGTAAAAGATGTGTTGTTGTTAAAAGAGATTAAAGTTGTAGGATTACTACAGAATTCGTGATTTAAACTTGCACAGCATTTTGAAAACACCTCTAAAGAAAATCTCTAGAAAGGATTATTTACACTATCCTTCAATTAATGCATGACTTATAAGATGCACACAAATCTATGATATGAAGCTAGTATATCTACCAAGGAATATTTACGAAAAAATAAAAGTTTAAAGCTTGTATGTAACTGGGTTTTTTTTATATTTTAAGATTATTTTATTTTTGATTATAATTTAATCACTGATGATCAAATGCATATATTTTGGGGTTATAAGGCGACAAGTGTGAAAAAAGAAATATTTAGCTGTTTATCTTATATCCAAAACAATATACAAAAGTATAAGACGAATAGGGATTTGGGAGGGGCTGCGCATTATATGATGGCAAAATGGTATTTTATGTCATTGTGAAGAAAGAAGAAGTTAGGTGCCGAGAGAATGTTTGCTGGTTGCTAAATGGGAGAGAGAGGCAGAATAAGAGACGATAAAACAGATTAGCACACTTTCTATCTATCTATCTATCTATCTATCTATCTATCTATCTATCTATCTATTCGTCTCTCTCCCTATCTTAGTTTATCTATTCGTCTCTATCTCCCTATCTCTATCTGTCTGTCTATCTGTCTGTCTATCTATTCGTGTCTCTCCCGATCTCAGTCTATCTATTCATCTCTCTCCCTATCTCTATCTCAGTCTATCTATCTATCTATTAGTCTCTCTCCCTATCTCAGTCTATCTATTTGTCTCTCTCCCTATCTCTATCTCACTCTGTCTATCTGTCTGTCTATCTATTCGTGTCTCTCCCGATCTCAGGCTATCTATTCATCTCTCTCCCTATCTCTATCTCAGTCTATCTATCTATCTATCTATCTATCTATCTATCTATCTATCTATCTATTCGTCTCTCTCCCTATCTCAGTTTATCTATTCGTCTCTCTCTCCCTATCTCTATCTGTCTGTCTATCTGTCTGTCTATCTATTCGTGTCTCTCCCGATCTCAGTCTATCTATTCATCTCTCTCCCTATCTATCTATCTATCTATCTATCTATCTATCTATCTATCTATCTATCTATCTATCTATTAGTCTCTCTCCCTATCTCAGTCTATCTATTTGTCTCTCTCCCTATCTCTATCTCACTCTGTCTATCTGTCTGTCTATCTATTCGTGTCTCTCCCGATCTCAGGCTATCTATTCATCTCTCTCCCTATCTCTATCTCAGTCTATCTATCTATCTATCTATCTATCTATCTCAGTCTATCTATTTCTCTCTCTCCCTATCTCTATCTCAGTCTGTCTATCTATTCGTGTCTCTCCCGATCTCAGGCTATCTATTCATCTCTCTCCCTTTATCTATCTATCTATCTATCTATCTATCTATCTATCTATCTATCTATCTATCTATCTATCTATCCATCTATCTATCTATTCTATTCGTCTCTCCCTATCTCAGTTTATCCCTATTCGTCTCTCTCTATCTCCTCTATCTCTATCTGTCTCCTATCTGTCTGTCTATCTATCTATCTCATCTATCTATCTCTCTCTCTCTCTCCCGATCTCAGTCTATCTATTCATCTCTCTCCTCTATCTATCTATCTATCTATCTATCTCTATCTATCTATCTATCTATCTATCTATCTATCTCAGTCTATCTATTTCTCTCTCTCCCTATCTCTATCTCAGTCTGTCTATCTATTCGTGTCTCTCCCGATCTCAGGCTATCTATTCATCTCTCTCCCTATATCTATCTATCTATCTATCTATCTATCTATCTATCTCCCACGCTCATTTTAAGGAGAAAAATAAGTAGAAATATTAATCAAATAGTAATTAGAGTTATCTGCACTAAACACTTTTTAGTATTGTAAATATATTTTAAGGAAGAAAAGAGGGCGATCCTAATTAGAGTTATCTGCACTAAACACTTTTTTAGAGTTATTTTCAATAAAAATTAAATGATTAGAATGAAGTAGGTTTTTATTTTCATAACGATAACAGTTAAAGTTGTTTTTCATAAAAACATGAATTAATTAAATGTATGATTATCCAAGGATAAAATCATGGAAGAAAGAGGCAATGTGACAATCTTTTTCTTTCTTCCATTGACTGAAAAGATTTATTGGTCACGTAGAAGCGTTGAAATATAGCAGTGCATCATAATTCTTTACATGAATAAAGACAATATAACTCAAAATGACGTCAGCTCAAAATTGAACCGGATTTGATGGATAGATTTTGTTTTTAAGCTTTAAATGATTGTTTTTTAATTGAACACATCAGTTATTTGTTCCACAGTTTTCCAAGTGAATGAAATAAAAATGTTTTTACATGAAGATTAACAATAAATCGATTTGAAATTCATCAAATATACATAAGAGTGCAACCTTTTGGCGTTTTCAATTGATTATAATAAGTTTAAAGGAAAACGTGTTTATCTCGGTACACCGGTGATAGTAGTGACTTTTAGATTCGAATCCAATTAAAGTTTAAATTTAATGTCATTATTTTATGCTTTTTATCTCAGACTACTCTATACGGACTACTGGTATGTAATGATTTCTATATGATCAGGTCAACGGTGATTAAACCGGCTCCCACACCAGGCTTTTCTGGTGAGAGGTGTAGTTAGACAACTAACAGGGGATGAATGAGCCTTTCTTGTAGGTTCAACGGCCATCTAGCTCACTTCTCGGCAGGCTGGGCTCTATAGTTATGGATGATGCCAGTTCAATGATGACAAAGCAACGTTGGACAGACGACTTCCTAGACTGACGTCAACGTCCCGGGTGGCGGATTTCCTCCCCCCCCCCAATCGTATCAGCTGCCAGAGGCCCATGAAAATGTGTGTCTTCAAGTTGATGGGCATCAGCTGTGGTTTGACGTAGAGAGGGATGGAATCTGCTAGGTCCACTTGCCCACTAATTGCTACAAATGAAGGAATACCTGTCCGGATTTCAACCCAGATAATATAAAGGAAACTGGTTTGGTGCTCAGCTGCGCAGCGTGACCCTCCCCGACCACAACCGGTAATGACGATGACGATGATGACAATGATGATGATGATGATAGGGATGACCGGCTTGAATAATCGTTGCAAATTGGATCCCTTGAAGTATTCAGCTTTATAACAGAGTTTTTAAGATTAATAGTTAAATTAACAGATGTTTTTAATTGATTAAGCGATATATTGTGAGTAGAGAAGATAACGTAACTTTCTTTTTTTGGTCAAAAAAACAACACATACGAAATTATTTCGACAAAAGCAATTACCCCATAACGCATTATCAGACAATGTAATAATGTTTTGTTTTTTTTGCAATTTATCAGCCATTTACAATTATTGGTAAAGTGTGTGAATGCAATCAGATCTTAGAATATCAGGATTTGAAAATATAACGCTGGTGAAAAATTCAACAATTTTTCATTTTTTTTAAACGATCTCATTATCTGATTGAACAATCGAAACGAATATTTTTTTATATTACGCAATCTATGAGAGTCCGAGAGATGGGATCACTGCATCTATATGCGAAACGTGATTGTGTACCTAATGACACTTCACGAAAACAATTGAGGTTTTGCCCGGAGATATCCAACCTTAATTACCAAAATTACTCAGAGGATATTAATAGTTCGCCTGTGAATAAATGACAAACTAAGTAATTAATGGAAGCTGCAAAAACTCCTCCTATTATCACAGAAAGGGCAATCTTGTCGTTCACGAGAGAGAAATGTGTTGCATTAATTACGAGTTGATTATCGATATATGTTCTACATGTCGAGTTTTACGAAAAACTAGGAAATGTCATGTCAATTTAAACTTATCCAGAGGAGTCAAACAAATTTCACGTAAGAACAAAAGGTTTTTGTAATTGCAATCTGGTTCCTCATGCAATCACATGCACACTGACACACGCACGCATGCAGACACACACGCATATATGCACATCTACATACACGCACGCACACATGCACGCATGTGCACATGTACACACACGCGCGCCCGCGAGCTCCCATTTTATTTTAATATACTTTATTAGCTAGAAAATATTAAGACAGAATGAAGGTAATTTTGCCAGACTTTCTTAATCATATCTGATTAAGAAGCAAAAGTCGCAGTAGATTAACTGATGAGTTTCGTGCTTGATGATGAAAACGATCCATCATATGTTGGTTGAGCAATGAATATTTACAAGCATGATTTTCGGAGTTATTTTATGACGATAAGAAAATGAATACGCTTTTCTTCATTTTTGACTTCTCCAATTCTCTCTCTCTCTCTCTCGCTCTCTCTCTCTCTCTCTCTCTCT